TAGAAAATTGACCAATCACAGTTGATTATTCTTCTCATATTCGACCGTGATTGGTCAATTTTCTACGACTTAAGACCTTACGACTGCTACGACTTCTATTGTAGACCCCGCATTACATCATCGTTTTCATCTCCTTTTCTTATCTTTTGTTTTTATTTTTATATTTATTACTACATGTATATATACAGCACTTCATTCTGAGGAAGAAAAACAATGACAAAAAACTTGATAAATATTCTTTTTTCAAATAAAGTTTATGTTTAATAAAAATTTAAATAAATAACAGTACTTATATCACAGTTAATAGTTATCCTTTCTTATGACTATATAACCTATAAACAACTAAATTTATATTCCGGAATATCACAACATTATTATCGTTAATCATAACTCGGAAATGATATCGGAATATAATTCGGATATGATATTGGAATATCATAACTATTATATCAAGCTACATTAACCTAACATTACAACATATTATAGTATGAAAGTAGTATGAAAAATGGCGCTGAATCACGTGATTTAGCGAGCCAATCAAACCATTTTCTCACCTGACGCCTTTCTGTTATCTAGGCCTCTACTTCTGACGACTGAGATATCGACTAACGACCGTATCGATCAAACGACACGGTTCATAAGTATCGAGAAAATGGCGTCGAGCGTGGCCGCAGAAAGCAAACGGGCTGCAAATCTAAACGCCTGTTCCATTTACGGCAGGTAAATAATTCATGGCAATTTCGTAAAACTATGCTGCTCGAAATGATTGAAGGGCCACTGCTCATATTTAAAAATATGCACCAAGGTTTCAGAAATTTCCCTTCAAGCTCAATCTTCAGCGAACGTTTGAAGAGTTCATTCTCAAACTATCTTGAACTCGTATTCGGAAAAAATTGAGATTGCTCGAGTTTAATATATGTTTATAGTTTTTAAAATTTATTTTCTGTCTCCTTATTATCATTTTTATTTATTATATATTTATATTATGTTTATTTTTTCACATAGTGTAAAATTTATATATCTATGTTAATATAAGATATATATATATATATATAATAAAAGAAATCTATTTCTTTTCAGAAATTCTCACAAATTCTTTGTAGCTTCCTAACACAAAATTTATTACTTTAGAAAAAGTAATAAATAAAACAATAAATAAATTGTTCATTATCTCATTTATCCTGAAATTTTCATTTATAATTTTTATATTATCTTATCGCTAACTAACTTATTATTAAAAAATTATTATTTTATTATATAAACATCTTATTTTAAGACAATGTGAAAATACAAGATCTTATCCTTAATTGGCGTAAATACAGTAGCTTCCTTAATCGGTTTTGAGATAGGGTAGAGCGGGGCTATTTGAGCATAGGGGCAAGTTGGTCAAATGCAAATATCTAAATAA